CTCCCCCTCATACTTTCGTTGGCCTCCTGCAGCAGAGAAGCATTTCCTGAGGTCAAAAGTGCGTTTGTTTAACCCTAGTACTGCGCAGGAAAAGGGAGAGGCAGCTTTTAATGTGAAAAAGAAGTCACAGCTTAGAAAAAGGAGCTCATTGGCAAAGCACTAAATGTATTCTTGTTTTCAGGTGTGTGTGTGTGTGTGTGTGTATGTGTGTGTGTGTGTGTGTGTTTGAGGATCCCGGTGGCTTTGCAAGTTTTATGAAAGGGTTTCAGTGTTTGCACTGCCAATTTCTCCACAAGGACCATTGCCTTTTCTTTTTATCACCACTGAGCAGTCACTGGTTTACCTTAACAAGACTCAAAGATCCCTGAATAGCTCTAAGCACCAGCAAGGACAAGGCGTCACTGTGAGACAAGTTTTCCCAACATCCAAGATGTGGAATGAGTGGATAGCTGCCTAATATGAGTTGAAGTCATGGTCACGAATTAACCTGAAACGCTCATGAGGGACAAACCTGTAAATATATAAGATTAACATAGTAGAATAGATAATTTACTGTTACTGTTGCGACAGTGGCTCAGTTGGTAGAGCATTGGCCTTTGAGCCTTTGTGGGTTCGAGCCCACCACAAGACCTACTTCACAACTCCCACTGATGACTGCTGTTGTTGTGTCCTTGGGCAAGACACTTAACCCCACTTTGCCTGAAGCCCCTGCTGAATATTCCAGGCTCCTGTGGACTCACCATCCGCAGGAGGATCAGTGAGGGGCTGGTGCTATGCGGACTGGGTGCAGCTCTGACTGCCGCCCCCCGACCCAGAAATGGATTAAGGGGAAGAAGATGGATGGATGGCATAGACAATTTATCAATAATACACAGAGAATACTGTGAGGCAACACACATATTGCCTCACAGCGCGACACTCTGTCAACTAGGACAAAAATATGATACAAATCTACAATTTTGAGGTAAAGTTATTTGAAATAAGGCACATTTTCTATGAAATAATACAATAGCACAAAGGTCAGGCGTCCCTTGCCTCCCCTGACCTTTACCAACATTATACCATGTCACTGGTATAATTTATAGTTATTGATTTTATGATTAGTGAATTCATCCATCCATCCATCCATCCATTTTCTTCCGCTTTATCCGTTGCCGGGTCGCGGGGGCAGCAGTCTAAGCAGAGACGCCCAGACTTCCCTATCCACACACACCTCCTCTAGCTCGTCCGGGGGGACCCCAAGGCGTTCCCAGGCCAGCTGAGAGACATAGTCTCTCCAGCCTGTCCTGGGTCTTCCCCTGGGCCTCCTCCCGGTGGGACGTGCCCGGAACACCTCCCCAGGAAGGCGTCCAGGAGGCATCCTGAACAGATGCCCGAGCCACCTCAACTGGTTCCTCTCGACGTGGAGAAGCAGCGGCTCTACTCCGAGCTCCTCCCGTGTGACTGAGCTCCTCACCCTATCTCTAAGGGAGCGCCCAGCCACTCTGCGGAGGAAGCTCATTTCGACCGCTTGTATCCGCGATCTCGTTCTTTCGGTCATTACCCAAAGCTCATGACCATAGGTGAGGGAGGGAACGAAGATTGACCGGTAAATTGAGAGCTTTGCCTTTCGGCTCAGCTCCCTCTTTACCACAACGGTCCGATACAGAGACCGCATCACTGCGCACGCTGCACCGATCCGCCTGTCAATCTCACGCTCCATCCTCCCCTCACTCGTGAACAAGACCCCGAGATACTTGAACTCCTCCACTTGAGGAAGGACCTCTCCACCCACCTGAAGAGGGCAAGGCACCTTTTTCCGGTCGAGCACCATGGCCTCAGATTTGGAGGTGCTGATTCTCATCCCAGCCGCTTCACACTCGGCTGCAAACCGTCCCAGTGCATGTTGCAGGTCCTGGTTCGTTGGAGCCAACAGGACGACATCATCCGCAAAAAGTAGAGATGAAATCCTGTGGCTCCCGAACCGGACCCCCTCCGGCCCCTGGCTGCGCCTAGAGATTCTGTCCATAAATACAGTGAACAGAACCGGTGACAAAGGGCAGCCTTGGCGGAGGCCAACATGCACCAGGAACAGGTCTGACTTACTGCCGGCAATGCGAACACAGCTCTGGCTCCGGTCATACAGGGACCGAACAGCCCTCAGCAGAGGACCCCGGACCCCGTACTCCCGGAGGACCCCCCAAAGGACACCCCGGGGAACACGGTCGAACGCCTTCTCCAAATCCACAAAGCACATGTGGACAGGTTGGGCGAACTCCCATGAACCCTCGAGTATCCGATGGAGAGTATAGAGCTGGTCCAGTGTTCCGCGACCGGGACGAAAACCACACTGCTCCTCCTGAATCCGAGATTCGACCATCGGACGTAGCCTCCTCTCCAGTACCTTGGAGTAGACCTTACCGGGGAGGCTGAGGAGTGTGATCCCACGATAATTGGAACACACCCTCCGGTCCCCCTTCTTGTAGAGAGGGACCACCACCCCGGTCTGCCACTCCATTGGCACCGCCCCCGATCGCCACGCGATGTTGCAGAGACGTGTCAGCCAAGACAGTCCTACAACATCCAGAGACTTTAGATAGTCAGGACGGATCTCATCCACTCCCGGCGCCTTGCCACCATGGAGGCTGCCAACCACCTTGGTGACCTCGGCCAGGGAGATGGAAGTATCCGCCCCAACATCCTCAGCCTCTGCATCCTGGACGGAGGACGTGACGGGGGGATTGAGGAGAACCTCGAAGTATTCCTTCCACCGCCCGACAATATCCCCAGTCGAGGTCAGCAGCCCTCCACCCGCACCATACACGGTGTTGGCAAAGAACTGCTTCCCCCTCCTGAGGCGCCGGACGGTTTGCCAGAACCTCTTCGAGGCCGACCGATAGTCATGCTCCATGGACTCTCCGAACTCCTCCCAGTCCCGGGTTTTTGCCTCTGCAACAGCCCGGGCCGCGGCACGTTTGGCCTGCCGGTACTGGACAGCTGCCTCAGGAGTCCCACGAACCATCCTTGCTCGATAGGACTCCTTCTTCAGCCTGACGGTGAGTTGAAAGTCCGTCTGACAGGGGGCTCAGCAAGACATTCCCAGCAAACCCTCACTACACGCTTGGGCCTGCCAGGTCTGACCGGCCTCCTGCCCTGCCAGCGGATCCAACTCACGACCAGGTGATGATCGGTTGCCAGCTCCGCCCCTCTCTTCACCCGAGTGTCCGAGACACGCGGTCGAAGGTCAGATGATACGACTACAAAGTCGATCATCGACCTCCGGCCTAGGGTGTCCTGGTGCCACGTGCACTGATGGACACCCTTGTGCTCGAACATGGTGTTCGTGATGGACAGGCCGTGACTGGCACAGAAGTCCAACAACTGAACACCGCTCGGGTTCAGATCAGGGGGGCCGTTCTTCCCGATCACCCCTCTCCAAGTGTCACTGGCATTTCCCACATGGGCGTTGAAGTCCCCCAGGAGAATAACGGAGTCCCCGGGCGGTGCACTGTCCAGTACCCCTCCCAAGGACTCCAAGAAGGCCGGGTACTCTGCACTACCGTTAGGCCCGTAAGCCGTCACAACAGTGAGAGACTTGTCCCCCACCCGGAGGCGGAGGGACGCGACCCTCTCATTCACCGGGGAGAACTCCAACACGTGGCGGCTGAGATGGGGGGCAATGAGTATGGCCACCCCAGCTCGCCGCCTCTCCCCGCGGGAAACACCAGAAAAGTGGAGCGTCCAACCCCTCTCAAGGAGTTGGGTTCCAGAGCCCAAGCTGTGTGTGGAGGTGAGGCCGACTATCTCTAGTCGGTATCGCTCAACCTCCCCCACAAGCTCGGGCTCCTTCCCCCCCAGTGAGGTGACGTTCCACGTCCCAAGAGCCAGATGTTGGGTGTGTGGACTGGGTTGTCGAGGTCTCCGCCTTCGACTGCTGCCCAGTCCTCTCTGCACCTCGCCACCACGGACCCCTCTGCAGGTGGTGGGCCCACAGGAGGGACTGCCCACGTCATCCCTTCGGGCTGAGCCCGGCCGGGCCCCGTGGGCTAAGGCCCGGCCACCAGGCGCTCGCTTGCGAGCCCCGACCCCAGGCCTGGCTCCAGGGTGGGGCCCCGGCTGCGCCATGCCGGGCGACGTCACGGTTCTCAATAGTGAATTCATATGATGTGAATGGGATGATGTATTGTCTGTGTGATGTTGTATAGTATACTGTATGTGAGCTGTGGTTATAATGTTCTGGCATGGTGCTGTATGTGTGTGTATGTGGGGGGGCTCATTATATGCTACTGTACTTTCCTTGTTGTAATTTGTGTTGTTTTTTCACGTAACCGGGTACTGCAGATGGAAATTAGCTGTAGCGATAATCTTCTAGAGAACATATCTGTCTTTGAACTCAATGTTGCTGTGCACTGTCCCTGCCAAATAAAGACTAAATTAAGTAATTGATACATAGGCCGAAAAATGTTGGACCGTATCTCCTCAGATTACAATCATTACATGTGGTTTATACAGTGTGTCTCTGACTTCTTCATCAGAACAGTCCTCTTGACCAATAAGAAACAGAGGACATACCCTATGTTCTGCTTTAACACTAAAGAAACCACCATAAGAAAGACAAATACGTGTGGTGTAATATATGACTGTAAAACTAAGATGAGGGGAAATTGTTGGAAATAAGGTGCAACTTTTGTTAAGCACTATGCTCAGGTCCATCTAAATCAGGGCCCTCATTTCAGATCTCCAAAGGTGGGCCTCTCAGCCTTCTTCCCTGGGCGTCTGATCATTATTTACCAAGCAACATAAACTAAACAAATACTTTTACATGGACTGTAATAAGGTCCATACAGTACTATTGTTTTTTTGTACACTTTAAATATGGATTACATTTTAAACATGCAGCACATTTTCCCAAAACAAGGTTTTAAATTCTTGTGGTATTTGCTGCATAGATTGCTTTGTGATAGAAACAGCTGGTATTTGTGTGTTTAGTTGTAATGTTTTGTGCGATTTTGTGTGTGCAGGGAAGCAGTACTGGGTGTTTAAGGACACAGTGCTGCAAGCCGGGTACCCGAAGGACATGTCTCAGTTTGGACATGGGATGCCCGTGCAGAGTATCGACACAGCCGTGTGGTGGGAAGACGTGGCCAAGACCTACTTCTTCAAAGGCGACAGGTCAGAACATAAGAGATTTACAAAGAATTCCACTATATATTGTAGCTTCCAGCAGGACAGTAACAAGACACAAAGCCAGAGCTATAACAGAATGGTGTAAAGGGGGGAAAAAACATATTCATGTGTTAGATGAGTGTGTCAAGGTCCAGACCTACAGTAACTCCATTTGAAAATCTCTGGAAATATATGCTGTTCACAAACATTCTCCATCTAATCTGACAGAGAGTTGTTTTGTAAAGATGAATGGGAAAAACTTTCAGTCTCTAGATATGCAAAGCTAGTAGAGTCATACATCAAAATTCTTATGGGGCGTTCAGACCGTTGACGCTGGAACGCAGCTTCCGCACACGAGTTAAGCTAGCGGCTTAACTGTTTTTAAATTGTATACAATTTATTTCATTCATATAATCAAATTAAGACAAGGCAGCAGCTATTGCACCTGTACCACGGTTGATTTTCGAGTCTTTCCAGATCGAACAGAATCAGATGAGGCGCATGTCTCTGAGCAGCATATTTAAAATTCTATCTGTCAGAACAGCTGCTTGTGATGGGAGCAGGAACTGGTCCTAAACAGGCTGTGATGGTTTACTGAAAGACAGAGAAAAGCAGACGTTAATTGTCAATCGCACACCTCTTCCAGGTTCAATATGTCCTATAATAGATAAACACTGCTGACCTCACATGTCGTGCATCTCTGCTATAATTATAATATGCAATATAGAACCACATGTGCCTGACTATATATTTCTGCACTATACAATACTACACTGCAGCATTTTATACTAGTTTTCTACTAGTTTTCCTGTCCTCCTCATTCCTACAGTTCTGTAACTGCTGATAGATCTTGGTCCACAGTGTTCATGCAGGCACATGTACGGAGTTCAAATAACTGTCGTGGAGTTATACCAGTTAGCACTAGGATTGTATGAATGTCAAATTAAGTAAAACATTCATAATACATGTCTTATGTAGGCACTGATAAACTTTTCTGCTTCATCACTGCGTTAAAAAATGAAAGGCTAACTGTAGGCTAGCTGTACTTTCACAACACGTGCCTTATACCATAACATGAAAGTTGACTTACCTCGTCTTGGGCCTGCCCTCGATGCTTCCTCGTCAGGTGCTGCAGCATCAAACTGGTGTTATCATCCACTTAGCAATGTGTGCAAACTACTCTGGTTTAGTGTTCAGAGTGAAGTGCTCCCACACTTTAGACGCTTCTTATTAACTCTCTTGTCTTTGCCAGTGCCTTCTCTGTCGTCCTCTATCGATATTATAATAGAACAATGCATGTTCCGCGAAAAAATTTTACAAACACTAGCGATGCGCGCAGACCATGCAGACAGGTGCTGTGTAGCGCAGGGCACGTAAGATCTGATGTAAACATGTTGTGCAACACTAAAAGAATCTGTGCGAAATGTGAGAAAAGTCTATGGAGCAAACAAGGCAAAATGGTGCAAATAAACTACCATATACAAAGCATCGATGCATCTTAAATTCCTAGACTGTTTTTAATAATCAAATTATTCAAGTTATTATATGAATCATTTCAGCTCTAATCTGAACGAAAAGGATCTTTCTGTTTCCACATAACCCTGTGGCTTGCCAACAGACCTTCTCTCATGAGCTATTGTTTATTCACAATCCATAGCAGCGCTGTTTGTTCTACCATCCTGCTATGAACACATTATATATTTACATTATATAATTGCAGGCTATACTCCAGGAAGGATATTACTACTGCCATCTGCTTTGGTCTCTAGCCTCTTCATCCTCTTCATTGACCCTGTTATTCTTTTTTCTTTTTTTACATTTAGGTACTGGCGTTACAACGAAGAGATGAGAACCATGGATCCCGGATACCCCAAGCCCATCTCAGTGTGGAGGGGTGTGCCCGAGTCACCCCAGGGAGCATTTGTGGACAAAGCCAATGGTATGGTTTGATCTTTCTAAGCATTTTCTGTACAGTCTGGCAACAGCTGTGCAGCAGTTTTCCAAGAATACATTGATTTAAGCCTGCGCTGGCATGAGCAGCTGAGCCATCGACTGAAATCTGCCCCATTTGTTTGAGCGTGTGGCAGTGGGCGGCACTCTTGCTTATGGTCGCCACTGGTGTGAAAGAGGTAACTCGGTCAGTATGGGTTTACATGCTAGTCATAAAGGTGGAACTATATGCAGCTTCTGGTGGAGTCCCGTATCCATGCACATGTTATCACTATAGCAAGAATGATCAACAGTTCAGCAAAAAAAAATCTATGACTGAAAAAAGGAAAAATAGTATGAAAAATACTTTTAGATCTGACTGCCTTATCAAATTGCCTGGAAATCCAGCAATACAAGAATGTTTTTTAATCTGCTGCCTAAATGGCAAGCCAACGCTATTATGTACACACAATTGGGCGGCACGGTAGCTGAGTGGATAGCACTCTCGCCTCTCAGCAAGAAGGTCCTGGGTTTGAATCCCGGTCAGACAAGGGCCTTTCTGAGTGGAGTTTGCATGTTCTCCCTGTGTCTGCGTAGGTTTCCTCCGGGTACTCCGGTTTCCCCTACCACTAAAAATATATACAATAGGTCTGGCATGCGCCTCCTGTTCAGCGGCCCCGCTCCCATCTCTGTGTGGAGTGAGAGGACAAGTGCCCAAAAAATTACAAATGTAAACTGCTTTGTGACTCTGGTCTGTGAAAGGCAGTATATAAATAAAGATTACTTACTTACTTAATTACATGTTGGTCTAGTTCCCTTTACCTGGATTAAGCCTGGTTCATTTTAGGAAAATCTTCCATAGATTAGTTTCAAAATATTTACATTTTGTCACTACTGGACACATATTCATTTGTTTGGTGATTTTACATTCACAAATAAAGCATTTTTGCTCCAGAAAGTGAAGTGAACCAGAATTGGTCCAGTTAAAGTGAACCAGGCCGGGCCGGGCTCCGGCACTTTTATTTATTCATTTTCAGAGCGACAGATTACATTTACAAACACACCCACTGAATATAGAGTTCTATCACTCTGTAGTGTTTGTTGCTCTGTAAAGTAATGTCATTAACGACACATAGCGTTACCTACAAGTGTGTTATAGTTTATTGTAGCATCTGGGCATCATACAGCTGCGGCCGTTCACTCTGTACACACAGAACTCATTGCAACACATCACTACCATGTACTGTATAACTCCGCCCTCTTGCCGGGCCTGTGTTCATATCAGTGCGCGGCACTATATACTATGCTAAAACATTGTTATGGGAGGTAAAAAAAAAAAAGAAGTATAGCTTAATACGGGTAGAATTCAGAAACCATGTCGGGCCGGGCCGGGCTGGGGCGCCACCCCTCGGGCCAGGGCCGGGCTCGGGCCCAGATAATAGGCCCGTGCAGGGCTCGTGTTTGAAAGGGCTTTTTTCTTTCCAATTATACATGTTATATATCTGTTTATTGACAGCATTGAATTGTATGACATTTTGCTTGAGTGTGAAAAATAATATGTTTTCAATAAATAAAAAAAACAGTTGCACACTGTTGTGTCCTTGGGCAAGACACTTAACCCCTCTTTGCCTGAAGATCAAGGCTCCTATGGACTCACCACCTGCAGGAGGTTCAGTGAGGGGCTGGTGCTATGTGTACTGGGTGCAGCTCTGACTGCCACCCCCCCGACCCAGATATGGATTAAGGGGAAGAAAATGGATGGATGGATGGAATTGCACACTGTAAGCCGATTCAGTATTAAAATGATAATTAAAGGGACGTAAAGAATAGATTAAAATGTGCGATTGATTTGTGATTAACTGCGAGTTAACTATTTTCTTTCATGTACAGAAACTCAGATGAAACTAAAAAAAAACGTCATTCCTTTGTATCTGTAATTCAAATGTGAAAAACACCTGTGTTATTTGATCTGGTATGTGCAAAAATATTTGCAAGAAACTGGTTTCAATTTGCATCTCATGATGAAACCAGTTGGAGCAGATCATAGACAGCAAAAAAGACAAGACCACCACTGGGCCTCTATTCCGGTTTCTGCCAGACAAACCTTGCCAAAAATTGGAAGGCGGGTCCAAATATGGCTCAGAGCATTTATGTCAGCAAATCAGCAGGCGCTCGGAGAGTCTGCTGTGTTCTCATTGGGCACCTAGTGTCAGGTGGGACTTGGCTGGGTTCAAAGGGTCCAGGTGGCGCTGAGCTTGGGCCATCTGTGCTGTGTGTCGTGGAGCCAGGACCCGGGCAGGTGGAGCATGTGCCAGTCCATGCATGAAGGGTGCAAAGGCATCACAACTATGTCTAGTTAACGTAAAGTAGGTGTATTGGCATCAGGTGCAGCCCTGAAACGTTCTAAAAGATTGACGATTACTAAAATCACTGAAATAAAAAAATGTAAGACAATTTTAGGGAGACGTATTTGAGAAGCCAGGCACTCCTACAGCTGAATGTAAACTCAAATACGCGATCATCAAGCAGAGGAGATTGTAAAATCCCATTCAGAAAGACTTTATTTGGACAATCTTCCTTCTCAGTTCGCACAGCACATTCCTGGAACTCGATCCCAACAGAACTGAGGAACCTGACCTCAATCCACACTTTTAAAAACTCTGTCAAGAAGTGGCTTGTGAACAATCAAAAATGTGAACATATGGTTTAAAGTCACAACCATTGATACTTTGCTGTATGGAAAACTGGTGGTGTTTTGTGTATTGTCCCTCTGATCTTTTATCTGTGCTAATGTATCTATTTTACATATTTTACCACATGTTACATACCCTGTTTTGTTATGTCTCTGTGATGGTGTGTGTCTCTGTGTGGGTTTGTATGTGTGTGTCTGTGTGTGCCTGTTGTATGCTTTATCTGTCTTAATATCAACCTGCCATGGGACTACGGATGAAAATTAGCCTACATGGCTAACTCTGGCACATTTACATGTTAAAAAACACATGTTGATGAATGTGCACTGTCCCAATTCAAATAAAGATTACAAAAAAAAATAAAAAAAAAGAATTGCCACCACCTACCCAGAAAATTGATGGATGAATGGATGATGTATAGAAATTGTCCTGGATTTAGAGGAAATTCTGAAACTTTGGGCTATTTGATACTTGATTAACAAGATTTGCATTCATGCAACTATCAATGCAAAATTATTCCATTTTGTCCTGTAGGTGGAATCTACAGTTTTTCTGTAGTTTTTTTTTTTTTTCTGTTTGCGTAAAAAATTACAGCTTATTCAAAAGAGCATTTTAAAACCCTCACATGGTATTGGAATTGTTTTTGTATAATTTTGTGTTAAGTTTTGTCTTGAGACAAGTTAGATAGGCCTACAAACTGTTTAGGTCAGAATTGTAAAAATGTAACTGTTGCTAATGTTTTTAAATATGCGAACTCCTTTTGCTGTTTTGTCCTTAGCCAATTCAAAATATACATTTAATGCACATGTTACATGTTCACATTAAAGGTCCCATATTTTGCTCTACTTCATGTTTCACAGTCCATCCTTGGCAAATGTCTGATAGTAATTTGTATAATACATCACTCAAAAGGAGTGAAATTAAAGCCATTTCTTGCATAGAGGTGATGTCACCTCAATTGAAAAGAGTGGATCTCCTTTCTTTGTGAGTCCGTGTCAGTCTCCCCCAACCTGTGCAGTGACGTAGCCCTGACCACGCCCACCTCTTCTTTCTCTGTGCACACATTGACTTTGTTGTAAACACACAGTGTGGGGGGTTTGGCGTTACATTGCGGTTCTTTCAAACTTGGGAATTAACTTTTTTCCAACAACGGCAATCCGACACATATAGCCTTTTGTCCTCTATCCAGAATCGGACCCTAATTATTTAGTTAACAGTATTGTACAGTAGTTCTTACAGTAGATCCTTGTTAGCATCTTTTATTGTGGAAATAAAACTCCAGTTTCATGCTAACTATTGGAAAAGCAATCTTTGATGAAGTGTCACTTGCAATTAAATACACTCGTCGAGGATTTCAGATGCCCGTGAATAAAGTTGAGCCACAATTGTTGCATGCTCTGTTTTCAAGCCAAATAGCGTCACATATTTACACTCGAAAACACTCCAAGTTGACATAAAGCTAACCCTTTTAGTCAGCGACAGGAGCAGTAACAACAAAGGAGCTCGGACAGACTGTCATAATACATCCATGACTGTGGTAGAGAGAGGATGGGTGCGCTAATACAAGGACATTCGTGGGTGTGTCTGTTTTGATTTTGCCCCTGTCATTCACTGCTGGGCCCCTCCTATAGGCGGGATTCTCCAACGCGGTGTCACCTCACGAATTGGTGCCTCGTCACAATCATAACCGAAGCGTTTAGTTTAGATCGCTCTCTTACTAAAGCTTACGGAAATCAATGAAACAAATTCTATGTGTATGTACGACAAATAGCACTGTATTGATTTTGAAAGTTTAGAAAAGCAGAATAATAATACAGGACCTTTTAAAGAACCTATTAAGTCATTTACTCTGGGAATCCAGTGTATTATTTTAATGTAAAACTTTCATTAGTGATGACTGATTATATTTTCAATTGTTATTAATAATTGTTCTTGAATAATATATTGAATATAGAATTATGTTGTTCTACTCAGTGTATTCAACATTAAAGGCATTATTTGCATAGGTGATTCAAAAAGGTTGTAGAGTGAACTCCGTTCGCATGGAGTTACTTATCATACATTTGAAGAGCAAAACACACATGTATATTTAACATGCTGTTGATGTGGAACAGTGACATTGACCTACATACAGTACAGTACATTAAACGGCGCAGACCCTTGGGGCAGTATCGGCCGCTTTTCAACGCAAGGCTGACCGCTCACGCCTCTCCTCTCTCTCTTCTCACATATTAAAGTCCAGACTGCTGGGATTTTAATACTGATTCATGAACCCGCCCACGTAGCCACAGCTTCAAGGGGCTTTATCTGTTTGGAAAATGGCTTATCTGCCTCATTTGCGGCGTGAATGTTGCAGAGGACAGTCTTGGTTGGTCGTGAAATCAAACAATTGGGGACACACTTGTAGGTGGTGTGCTTTCATCCACTTTTTGCTGCTCCTAATTCAGTTTTGTCCAATGATGAGATAGTCAAAAAAATTATGACTTCTACAGGAACCGTCCTCTCATTTGGACCTCTCAGTGGCCGTGTCCCCACTGCAGTGTAGAACACCTCGGAGAGGAGTTTCAATCGCCACATAAGCACACCTCATTACGCCAAACCCATGTGTTTATTTTACAGTTGGAAACGCTCTGGTTTTTGTGGTCTTTGAGTTTTTTATAGTCCTGCTTCAGTTTTTTTTTTTTTTTTTACTTTTCACTGCATTGTTTTGAAGTGTGATGAATCCCCTGTGCTTTGAGGTTCCCTGATGTTTTAATACATCTTTTCATTTTGCCTCAAACCCCGTCGGAATCAATGCCTGCACCTCATCATCCATCCATTTATCGTACATCTTGCTTTTATTGTTTGCTGTTTCCAGTGGTGTCTGCTAGGCTAATAATGCTGGATTAAAAAAATGCGGGTTGTTTTGGTGCTTTCTGCCGGATTAACCTCAAGCCCCACCAGGAGCTTTTCAGTTGGGCCCCGTAAAAGTTCCTGTAAATAGCCTTGTGGGGGAGGTTCCTACACTGGAGACACGCACCAACGGGGCTGGCCCTGTAAAATCACCACGGAGTTCCTGCGGTGGAAAAGCGGCTTATGTTAGGGATATTGTTAGGGTTAGGGTTAATTGATGATTTTTGTCTTTCAGTTTTCCCTATCAATTTGTATTCAAAATTTTGTTCTCCACGACATCCAAATATGACCAATTTTGTCAAATTAAGAGTTGATCTAAATTTTTGTATTGATTACAGTACATTGAGTAGTTCAGTGTCTCCCAAAGTGGGGTCCGCGGCCCCCTGGTGGGCCGCGAGGGTACTGCAGGGGGGCCGCGGGAGGTCATAAAAAAAATAAAAATGATAATATAATTATTTAATGTTAAATTTATAATGTTTTGTTTGTAATATTAAAATATTTGTGTTCATTATTTGACTTGAATAATCCACTGTAATCATTTTTGTATTACAATGTTTGTAGCAGAGGCTATTTCCCCAAAATAAAATAACCAGAAAGGCCTATTCTTAATGTTGTCTTCTTGGTTATTATTTTGGGGGGCCACGCAGACCCGTCAGATTTTTAAGGGGGCCTCGGTGTTACTGAGTTTGGGAATGGCTGGAGTAGTTTATCCAAGTCATCACAGGGGCAGAACACATTTTTATCCTCGGCAAGATTTTAGATGATTTAAAAAATTCCCATAATCACTTAAATATAGATTCATTAGATTGGGGCCCCATTCTGAACCCTGTAGAACACCACATTAAATGTATAACTGATAAACTGATCATCCAAGTAACATGTTCACTAAATTCAAATGTGCTCCTTTAATACTGTATCTTTCAAGTGTACTGTTTAACTAATAAATATTTTGCCCCATTCAAAGCTGGTCCTTTAATAATAAAGCCATTAATCTTTCAAGTTTAATGGCCATAATATAGTAGTCTATGGTTTTATTTAAATTATTCCATTCTAGCATCAAGCAATTTTTAAATTATTTTTGAATATTTTTTATATGTTGTATTAAATGCGTTTATGTAATCATGTGAAAAAGGCTCCTTTAAAAATATGACTGGACTTTCCTTTTCGATTTGCAGATCTCATTTCAATACGGACCAAATACTCAAAATTCAGATCTTAATTTTTTACCATTGCAGTGATCCTTGTATTTCACAGGGATATCCAGAAGATGCAACAAGATAATGTTATGTTTTGAAGGAAATAAGATGAGTAATGGCAGCCACTAAACTAGGTGTTGATATGATTGTGATTAATGTATCCCTAAAATGAATGCAATCTGTTTAATCCATTGGTTGAAGTGGCAGTCGTTTATTTTGCTAATGCATTTCAGCCAGTTAAAAAAATATCTCTTTAAAGTGCATAAGCTTTTAGCTTAGAATGTCTATTTATAGTACTATTTATGTCTACTGCTTGTTTGCAACTTATTTTACTTCCACTGAACTGTTCTATCCCTATAATATTATATGAGATAGTGTGAGACTTACTGTATGAGCTCTTCTTTGGCACATACCACACTTGGCCCATACTAAAAGCAATTATAAATGACTGTATGACTTATTCACACTGGAGAATAAAAGACTAATCCAAATAAATGAGCTCAGAGCCACTTCACCCCACAGTACTGCCTTGTCACATGAATCCCTGTTCATCCATTGGTGCCTCTGAAAGACTTCTGCATTTTTGCACTATACTTCTATCTATAATACAAAGCAGCTGCTGTGGCCACTGTATCAACCCTGCCCTTACTTTACATTCAAAGCATTTCCCCTCACATTTTTCATGGTCAGAGCAGCATGAATATTAAATCATGCAAAACAAAGTGTGTATTAGGGACTAAGCTATGTGCAGTTTACTCAGCACATTCACTGCACTGTGGCCTCTTTTAGCATAACATCAGCTGCTTTCAAGTGGGATAGTAGCCTCAATATTGTCTGAAAATGCTCAATTATGATTTGATATTGGATATGGGGAACTCAATGCACAAATACCTGTATGTCAACATTTTGTGGCCTTCATGTAACTTTATATCATCCAGCCAACTTAAACTTTGCGTGCTATACCTCATTGTAAAACCTCTTGAAATGTGAATTATTTTGGCAATTGTGTGATCGTAGCTCACAACTCTGTCACTATGGTAGCTAGCGAGCAAGTAAATATTTTTCACTCAACCCAACTTCAGCTCTGTCAAATGGGAATTGATATGGACATGTTAAACCTCTTAGCTTATTGCCTGGTCTAAAATGTTTTAAAATCTGGAGAAAACTCAAGTGGGTCTCTCGCAATACAGTTGTGCTACAGTATTTTTTAGAGTTATCACATGTTATGTATTGCAGCCCTCTCCGTACTCAGACATGTTCTATTCTCTCTGCAGGTTTCACATACTTCTACAAGGGGAAAGAATACTGGAAATTCAACAACCAGTTCCTCCGTGTTGAGCCTGGATACCCGCGCTCCGTCCTCAAAGACTTCATGGGGTGCGAACTCTTGCCCATTGACCCCAACCGGCAACCGGGCGACGATGAGACTTCGAACGTGTTCATAGAGCTGGAGAACGAAGCTAGCACTGTTAAAGCCATTGCCATTGTCATCCCCTGCATTTTGGCCTTGTGTCTACTGGTCCTGGTCTACACCGTGGTCCAGTTCAAACGGAAAGGCACGCCGCGGCACATACTGTATTGCAAACGCTCCATGCAAGAATGGGTCTGACATTGGACAAAAAAAACTCTGCAAAGAGGTAATAGATAACGCCACCTACAGGACAGTGGTGTTATCTGCAAGAGCTCTTCAGAAGCACTGGAGGTCTTTTAAAATGGACAGTGAAAAGAAAAAACCTGTATCCTCTATTTGTGGTCGGGGTGTTGGACAATCTTGCTACACTCTGGCCTAATGAATAACTGGGAGAGCAGTGTTGGGAAACTTTGCCAAAATCAACCCTTGCAAAGACGAAATATGAGGGTCTGCATCTCTTTGTAACTCGGAAACTTGACTTCTTACATCCACTTCCTCATTTTTTGTTAAAATTGATTTTGTTTTTGTATTTTTTTTATTTTAAGCCCATCTTGCTTGCCATTCAGAGTATGGGACACACACTTCCCATTACCTGCAATGGCATCACATCTATCAGGTCGTCACAAAAAAAATATAAACTATTTTGTATTTTGTAGACCCCAAATGTTTCAATTAGACTTTTATTTTTTACAAAATATGGTCCTCATTGTCCCTTTAAACACAACTAGGAAGAGACCAAACAAACCAAATAAAATTCTACTTCCTCTCCAAAAAGGATGACATGTTTATGATTTGAATTATTATTTCATGTACATTCATTTTGTGTCCCTTCTTGGTGCAACTATTAAGAGTCAGGGAGCTGTTGTGACTGTTGTGGCAGTCTGTTGGTAACACAGGGGCCAAATTCTGCAATATTATAAGCTCGCCTTAATTATTAATCATACGACTTGTTCTCGGTTTTGTGTTGTTGTTGTTTTTTATACCTTTTCTTTGTTTGTAAAAAGGAGCAATTGAGCTTCTTGTGATCTCTGGATTTACTACGTTTCCCACTATCCTCGGCACTGGTTTGCTGAGCTCTGCTGGGCCTTGAATATTTCAGTAGGACAGCCTGTATTGACAGTAATGTATTGTGAAGGAAAAGTCTTGGAGTGAAGCCACTATTTTTGTGTGTTTAAATATGTGTTATTGCCATGAATTGGTTTGGCATTGACAAATTAAAATAAACAGTTGCTTTTGACTGCTTGAGGGAGTTCACAAACGCCTACATTTCCCAGAATGCTTTGAGGACATACAACATGACACAACTAAGTCAAGATCAGTGCCTGTGTCAATGTGCATGTAAGCATCCACACTCCTCCAAACAGCTACTAAAAAGTCCTCATAGAGATACTAAAAGCTCTTATTTTTCTACACTACATGCAGCCTAGACGACTTCCCATTGGTGTCCCAAGGTACCAATAGTTTAAAGTGAAAATTTGCAAGTGGTACATGAAATAATTGGCTTTAATTTAAAGTCAACAATGTCTTTGAATGTGTGTCTGACATTAATGCATAACGTATGTTTTCCTTTTCTTTTTTATGTTTCCTGGTCAAAACAAATGGGATATTTCACAATGACTGCTTTGTGTTGGACTATGGGACAACCTTGTGTCCTAACAGGGAGAATAAATTGATCAATATACAACAAATAAGTGCCTCAAGCTCTTTATTGTGATGTGAAACATAAAGTACTTGAACTTTGCTGTGTTTATCCAGGAAGTAAAACTTGACCTTTGAAGATTTCATGTCAATATTGACAAAACCGCAGCAGTCGGTGGATTGGACTAAAGGTGAATGGCCTGTCAAGAACTCCAGGCTCGATTCAATTAAATATACAGAATATAAGACCTCGTGTGAACTGTTTTTTGGGCCATATGCATGCTATTTACCTACTGTATGCAAAGACACGGACAGTCTGTAATGCATTGGATACATACAGCGCTTTTCAGGACATTCAAAGATGCTTCACATGTCAATATTCTTTCACTCTATAGTGTGATAAACTACTACTGTAGCCAGTGCTGCCTTGGGGCACACTGACAGAAGCGAGGCAACCAGTATGTGCCATCTGCCTGATAAGAATCAGACTCATGCAAATTGGGATCTTTGTACGACAAAGCCTCCTGGCTGGTTTATTCACAAAATGGTCGTTAATTTTCAGGCAGAACAAAAGACACAGATACATTATATATGGAAATCTACGTCATCATAGAAAAGGCCAAACCTTCGGCACAAATAGCCTAAACAACGAAAGTCTCTGTGGTCCTTGAGACCTCCACAAGGCCAGGTTATTAATACTATTTTGTCTTGCATTTGTCCACCTGTGCAGTACATAGGTCACTGTTTACCACACCCTCCCATTTTATCACATAAACACATGTGATAATAAAAATACGAAAACAACAAAAATAAATCAATCAATCAACAAAAACTTACAATCATGAAATCAAGTAAAGTGAATAACTGATTCTTAACTTGCAAAAAAATACATACAAAAAATAATGATAATAAAAAATAATCACTTTCACTATATAATCATGAATTTAGCTGATTTTATAATTCAAACAATAACAAAAATCTCTATTGGACACCAGAACCAAGCTGATATGAGTCATAGAGCAGGCGGGACTGAGCATTAAGAATCAAATATAAAATTAATTACTCACTTCATCCTAATGTGAAGTCTTAATATTAATTGCTACATTAACCTAAACGTTTTGATTTTACACTGTACACCTGTACAGCTATTATCTTATACTATTTTAAAACCGTTTCAGCTTCAGTGTCCCTGATTCAGCAATTCAATTCAGTCCTAATATGTCTCAATTTGTGTTATAACTAATATGATTATTTTGCAAAGCTATGTACAATTTTCGGTCGACCTCGCAATCAGCAGCTCCACGTTGGTGCTTGTAGCTTGGCTTCAGATAGACAAAACAAGGGAAAAGTACTTGCTTTTCTGCACATAGAGTGAATGATAGAGATTATACTATAACAAAAAGTCTATCCATAGATGATACACACTAGCTAAGGTTGGCTGCTAACATTGCATGTATTGATTTGCAATTTAGGTAATGACTTATAACAGCAGGGGCCTGGGGTGGCTTTGTTTATTCGTGCGGGGGAGGGAAGCTCCAAGAGAGTACTACAGTAGTCCCACAGATACTGTACACATGTTGACAATGCAGAAAGATGCCATGGCAGTGTGTCCCTGAAAATCACAGTATATATTTATTAATCAGTTGGGCATTTCTAGAACAATTAGTGCAATCGAGCAAAACCTCATGGATAACTGGCTATAAAGTCACTTCCCTCAAAAAGAACTTAATTCCTCAAAAGAAAGCTTCTGTCAATGAAACGTTCTGTGTCTGTGTCCTGACACCAGTGTTTATGAACAACAGTCCAAATGATTTAGTCATGTTTTCATTGTTGACTAGTATGTAGTGAGAATATATATGGAAATACTCGTACGTCTTTAACAATTTACTGCATATGCACTTTGCAATTCTACAGCAAATAGTGCAACAAAATACACACATACAGTATTTACGTAGAACAAACATACTAAACTCAATACTTAAACTCGGTACTCTCACTCGTACTTCAAAAACTCAGAAACTCATAAAACATTTTCAGATCTTGATAAAACTTTCAACAATCATCATAAAATACCACACTTCATCATCCGTGGTTCTCAGAATATTGCTTATGAAAACAGTCTCTCCCCTTCTCTGTGTTGATTGAGATCTGCTTGTGTCAAAGCCATGAATCTTCTGTGACGTGTCTTTCAATCGCACGTTTCACTTTAGTGTCCAGATTCAAGTAATTCAATTCATCCCAAATTAATGTCCAAATTCAGAAATCCAGATTGTTCCAAAATGTGTCCAAATTCAGAAATCCAGATTGTTCAAATGATGTCCAAATTTTGTAATCCCAAATGATCCAAGCTGTTTGAGTCAAATAACGTTCAGCGTTATATTACCAATAGTTTTCTCTTTCCATAACGATAATCTCTCTTTTGGAAAGATCACCAACGTGATGCAAAAGTTTACGTTATACACTGAAAAATCGTGATTAACAATTTACTTAAAAAAATCCTCGTAATTCATTGCACAAATATAATTAAAGATTACTACTAATTAATCAAGTAAAACTTTTTATTTCATCAAGTATAATCTGAATTTATTTGTAAAGTAAACCTTACTTAACAAATTGATTTTTTTTACTTGATCCACATAAAATAATCAAGTAAGGTTTATGTGAATTATTTTTAGTTATTTATGTGGTGAAATAGATATCCTGATTAACCATTATGGTACAGATCATTTACAATAATGGATAACTTGAATAAATGTTATTTATATTTTTTATCAGTATATTTCTATCATTGCAATAATACTTATTAAGTACATAATGTGTGTAACAAGTACATATTATTGAATTACAAAGAAAAACCAATATGCAAATATTCAACTTTAACGGCCTGTTTTAATTGACAAACTTTTAAGTTCAACATCAACATGAAAACTAAAAATGAACTAAAGCTGACCCTTAAAAGCAGAACACATGACACATAAAACTAATTATCACAAAAAGGATGCAATGGAATAGTTATAGAGATAGGCCATTGGTTTCTATAATTAAATTCATTAGCTAAGATGAGAATGATGCACCTGCCTGGACTTTGAGCCTCTGTTCAGCTAAGACCAGATGTTTAGCATTAGCTCTCGCAGTACATCTCAATGCTCCAGACCGAGGTAGATTGTAGAATTGGCCGACGCTCTTCACATTTCCCTACTTAAAACACTGGTTACAATGAGATTTTACTAGATTCAAGAATAGTCAACTTTAATTTAACATGTCCATGTTTTTAATGACTAATTTTCATATTCTAGTCTAACAGAGTCTAATCTAAAAGTATCAACATCAAATTATATAAAATCTGTGGCCTTTTCTCTTATGCTGAACAAATTGCTTCTCTTATGTTTTTGGACATTAATCTTGACTTTCAGTGTTTGTAATTTCGGGGATGGCTAAATGCATCTAAATGTCAGAAAATCTCTGAATACTTCGAAGGTGTATCGTAGTTGTAGGATTACGCAAGATTGAGGAAATATATTAGACCCATTAGCATTGCACATGCCTTTGCAGTATTTCCA